ACTTTCAACAATAGACCCGAGATATCTAAAGTATGTGACCACAGAAATTGCCTGCAGGTGGAGCCATAGTTACAGCTCTGTCACTAGAGCTACTATTACTAAAACTACATTCTATGTATTTAGTTTTAGTTCTCCTTAAACGAAGGCTTTTAGACTCCAATGTAGACCTCCATAATTCATTTTTTTCCTAAGCTTTTTTTCCAGTCTTATCCACAAGAAGGATATCATCAGCAAAAAGCATACACCAAGGTTCATCCTCCTGTAAATGTCCAGTAAGAGCATCCATAACTAAAACAAAAGGATATGAGCTTAAAGTTGATCCTTGATGTAATCCAACTGAAATAGGAAAATATTTGGTCAATCCTCCTTATGTTTGAGTAAATGTAACAACTCAAGTATACATATCTTTAATGACTTGAATATAAGTCATATCAACACCTTTCTTCTCTAGAACTCTCCAAAGAATATCTCTTGGAACCTTATCGTAAGCTTTTCTTAATCAATAAAAATCATATGTTGATCTTCCTTATTCTCTTTGAACTTCTCCATCAAACCTCTCAATAAATGTATATCTTCCATAGTAGACCTTCTCGACATAAATCCAAATTCATTATGAGAAATCTTTGTAATACGTTTTAACCTATGTTCATTTACCCTCTCCCATAATTTTAAAGTATGACACATCAACTTAATTCCTCTATAATTTGCATACTCTTTTGCATCCCCTTTATTCTTAAAAATGGGATCAAAATACTCTTCCTCCACTACTCATGCACCTTTTTAGTTTTTAAAATAATATTGAAGAGTTTAGTAAGCCAAGAAACTTCTAAATCTCTTATATATTTCCACACTGCAATTGGGATGTCATTAGTTCCTACAGACTTTCCACCTTTAATTTTCTTTAAAGCCTCATCAAAAAAATTTTTAAACTAATGTCATGGTAAAAATGAAACATTTTATTATTATTAACGATATTAAGATCACTAAGGTTGATCATATTTTTAGAAACTTCATCAAAAAGTTTATTAAAATAACTCACCCACCTATATTGAATATCTTTTTTTTAAAAAAAAAGTACTTTTGATTTTTCATATTTAATATATTTTGCTTGAGTTAAATCTTTACTTTTCTTCTTTCTTTATTTGTCTAGTTTATACATATATTTTTCACCCTCTTTAGTATCTAATATATGACAAAGATCACTAGAAGTATAATTTTTACCGTCACAGATTATTTTTTTGGACTCCTTACGGGTCATTTTATATTTTTCCCAGTTCTCTAAGCATTTACATTTAAACCAATTTTTATAACATAAATTCTTATATTTTATTTTTTCTTGCACATTATTATTCCACCACTAACTATTTTTATTTATGAAAATTTTTTCTTTTGATTCTCCAAGTACATATTTTGTCACTTGTTTAATAGTGTTTGTTACTTTATCACACATAGAATTTGATTCTTTATGAACATCCCAAATCTTGAAATCTTGAAGTTTACTCATAAAAATAATTGGGTCTTTTTGGTGTCCTCATCTAATTTTATTACAAGGATTTATAGTATTATTTATTTTACAACTCTTCATCTTAAAATCTAGAACTAATAATCGATGTTGAGTAATTAAATCCTCACTTGAAATAACCTTACATTCTTTACATTCTCGACGATCTCTTCTTCTCATAAAAAATAATCAATTTGTGTTTTATTAGAGTGTTTTATTAGATCAATTCTTATAAGTAATAATATGTTCATCTGTTTGCTTGAATAAAGTATTAGTAATAATAAAATCATACGCTAAAATAAAATCTAATATGGTTCTACCTTCTTCACTAATCACTTCAAAATCGTAGCCACTATGAATATTTCTAAAATCTTCTACCACTCTACTGACATGTCCATTTAAATCTTCTCCAATAAAAATTCTTTATTCAAAATGCATCATTTGTATTAAGTTTTCTAGGTCATTCTAGAATTTTTCTTTAAAATATATATCTAAACCTATTTGAGCAGCATAAACACTTATAGTATTAAAAATTTTAGTATCAACAATAATCTTAAGGAATACAAATCTATCTCCAATTCTATTAATTTTTACAACATCATCTTTCAAATTATTTTCTATAATTACACTTACACCATTTTTAGTGCGACTTTTACCTGAATACCTAAGTTTAAAACCTAAGTTATCAATCTTCTTAGTCTTTTCTCCAACCTATTTAGTTTCTTGAATATCTAAGATTTTTATCTTTTTTTTTGAATCATAATATCAACTAATTCCGTTAATTTACCTGTGAGAGTACCCATATTCCAAAATTTTATCCTAATACTAGTTTCATGGACTAATTTCTTTACCCACATTCGTCTGTAATGTAGGAACCATTGCTTATTTGACACTACATCCGAACGCTTGTGTAGCGGCTCTTACACATTTTTCACTGTATTCAGACCTTACAACGCATCGCTTCCAGAAAACACCCTAGCATTTACAGATTGATCAAAATAATTCATGTCGTGATTTTTCGACAAATTTTACATTGGTTATCTACTACCCAACGCAACTCTCTACTTTTCACATCCGCGGCTTGGGACACTGCAGTGGTATTATTAAAAATTTCATTGTAAAAAGGGTGAGGTGTAACACAAAGATTTCATCTCAATGGTTTAATAAATTACACATTTTTCTGGATCATCATAACGTGCTTCCATGTGTCCACCAAAAAGGAACTTTTTATTATGCATGACCTTTGAAATTATGATTTGTTGGTATACTACATAAATTTGAATAATGAAGGAAGAAATACTAGACAGCCCATTCTCATCTTGTCTGCCATGCTTTTGAAATGGACAAACTTTGCTGCCAACTTGTGGCACATAGTTGCTATTATAGCTAAGTATTACCACAAAGGATGATGTACCTAACCTAGACAAATTGATGATATATTGGTTGGTGTTATCACCAATGCTGGTAGAATGGCAATCCTTGAATCATTATTGGAGACTGGAAGAAATGTGGATTAAAGTTTGATTTGAAAGATTGTATTCAATTATGCCGACTGTTCTTATTTTGAATGCTTGTGTTGTTATTCCAACCTTCTTATTCATACGTTTGATTGGTAGTACTTTAGATGCCTTGCAATGCTGTATACATTGAACGTTTCATCAAAAGGATTACATAGTTTTGTGTCGAACAGGGTATACAATGAGGATGATTTATTTTTAATCTAAAAAAAATTGTCTTGAAGGTTAATTATGTATATCCACAAATGACATGGATGCTTATCATTTCTAGCTAATTTTTTAATGCTTTCAGATTAACAAAACCTTTTTTCTAATTTGAGATTAGAAAAAAAGGGGTCAATGGGATAGCTACCCAACTGGAGTGGGCTTTCCTTCTTTGTATTTACTAAAATTTTGTGTTACAAGTTTAGCATTTTTGCTCAGAATATATCTCTCCTTCTCATCACTCATTTAGAGGTGGGTAAGGTTTCAGGAGGTCTAAAAGTATTTGCACCTTCTTACATGGGTATTTGTAAAGGGCAGTCATTAAGTGGTGGTTTTGTTATCTTTTGGGTATTTTTTAGGTTTTAGGGTTGAGTCATAAGAATAACATTTTTGAATTTTAGGGATAGGACTGCTTACATGAATCGTTTTCAAAACCTGCATTACTAAGAGTTTTATGAATGTGGTATGCTAGCTAGGGCATAGTAAGAACAGGCATTTTAAAATATAAGAATTTTGCAGCTTTCAAGTCACGAGATCAATCATCACTCCTTAAAAAAATATAATGGTCATTTTGGAGGTACGAGATGGGAGTTACCACATTTTTCAATACGTGGAATGTTAGTTCCTAGCTTTTATATCCATGGAAAGAAACGAGGGGTTCTTGTTATGATGATTATTTTGGAGACTCCATGGAGGCATAGCCATTTATCTATTACTATGAGTTTGATAGGTATTTGTTGGGGCATTTTTATGGGAAAGGATGTGAAAGTTTTTGGTTACTATTGGGTTGTTTGGTTTGTTCAAAATGAAATACAATATAAATTTTTTGCTTTGTACTCATATTACATTGTACTTTGAATATTTTGAAGCTATTTGATTGTTTGTAAAGAACATGCGGGGAATTTTTTTCGTTAGTATCCCTCTTGCTTCTGCTCCTTTTCCTGTTCTCCCAGAATAACAGGTTATGGAGGGTTAGAGAAGAGCCCCTTCAAGGATCTTATGTTGCATGTTGCGGGTCTTACCAGCATGCAAAAACTTAGACTAGTAATGTTTTTCTGCATTTTTTATGGACTAGGTCTATATGGCATTGGCCGTCTCATTTTTTATCATTCTTGAATGATCTTCAACAGTGAAGTTGTAAATGAATGTGTCTTAATTAGCCATAAACCCCTTTATTATTCATCATCTATCTTAATGAACACGAACTTTTAATAGAAAACTTAACCACTTTTCCCTATAATTTCTTCAGTTGGTCCACTTTCATGTCATTACAAAATTGCAAGGTAAAAATATGTGCCTTCGCTTTTGTGTCTGTGTGGCAACAAGTGAGCGGCAGACAAGGCAAAGTTTTGTACGCTAGCTTTTCTCGCTGTGGTAGTGAGGGGAAGAATGTCTGTTAATTTTGTATTATGGCCACTGCATTGGGTCCTAGGAAGTGTGGCCATATTTCTATTTGTAAGAAGTTTATAGATATTGGCTAGGCCATTGTCTACGGTAAAATGAGGTCCAATAAGTGGCAGGTCCAATACCTTTTCAGCACTACTTGGTAAAATGAGGTTGACACATCAATTTATCCGGTTGTTATGGATGCTATGGCCGGCACTATCTTATTCATGTAGCTAGCTAAATTATTTAGCCTCTTCTGTTCAAACACTGTATTACATCATTCTTTTCAATTTATGAAAATTTATTTCAAAATGTTTGTCTATATATATATATATATATATACATCGAGGTGGAAATAGAAGTTTAGGAATTAATTTCATAAGAGGTCAGTGGCTCCCTACGTGTTAATATTAAGAAAAATGTACAAAATTTGGAGGGGGGAGGATCCCCGTCTAAAAAGGCAAAAAATACATTTAACACACCCCTTGGGGTTCCTTTTCCCACAATACAACTCACGCAAAAAGAAATCTTCAAAATTACAGGTATACCCAAGCCAAAAAAACAAAACCCAAAAATAAGTAAACCTGTGCCCGTGTAGTAGGAATAATAAGAAAAGAGAAAGAAAATCCACAAAAGAAACAGCACGAAAGTCCTAATCCTCTGGAAACACTCTAGCGAGCAGCAGTGCCAATTGGGATGACAGTCGACTGAGCAGAGAAGCCAAACAGCAGAGGACCAGCAAAAACTATGAGAGTAGGAAAGCCAAGGAGACAAAACCAGAAAGGATGCAAACCACAACCTGTCAAGAAAAATAAAGAAACCGCAAGAGGAAGGGTGCAAACCAAACCACAATACAGAAATGAGAGCCCCCAGCCATAAAGTCGAGCAGCACAAATGTTAAAATCTAACATAAGACAAATTCAGGTTATCCCCAGTAAGGAGACGTCTGAGGGGAGTAGGGGGAGATATGCCAACAGAGCACGCATCCTCCGTTTGCCTGGCTAACCAATCAGCAGAGGAGTTTCCCTCTCTATGGATGAAACTCCAACTCACTTCCAAGTGCCTTTCAAAAATTAAAGCATAAATATGTTTAAAAATGCATGTAATATTCCAGAGAGGAGGAGAGATATCCAACAATATATCATAGAGCATTTTTGAGTCAGTTTCCACCTCAATCGTATGAAGATTGAAAGCAATTGTCACCGTTAAGGCCAAAAAACCCCCCCAGCATTCCGTCGCTAAGGGGTTGTCAGCAGCAATAGGAGAAGTAAAGTAGCATATACACTTACCCTCATAATTTCTAAATATGCCCCCAACCGCAGCATATAATTGGTTCCAACTGCCATCCACATTCACTTTAACACATCCAGAAGAAGGGGGAGTCCACCTGATTAAACGGGGGGGCCTAAAGTTTGAAACATCATTGGAACAAACTCTAAGGGCCTTGGTGTAATAGGCCAACGCATAAGAGGCTGTCATAGAAGCTGTAGGTGGGGGGGGGGGGGGGATTATATTTAAAGCTGTTTCTCGCGGTTCAAATAAGCCAAAGGACCAGCAAAGGAAGGGGAAACCCTCCCCCCTTATCATCAAAAGTCTTCCATTGCCACAAATAATTACTTAGGATGCCTCTATAGATCCAGGGGATACCAAAATGAAAGCCCAATATATTTCAAACATTTAAAGAGAAAGCACATTCAAAAGATGTCTCGAATTTTCCTCCGCAACTTTTCACATAGCACATCTCGAAGCCAATTTAAAGCCTTTCAACTTAAGAATGTCATCAAGAGATAGTAAAGAAGTGAAAAAACGCCTGAAGAAAAAGATACAGATAGACTCAAAAAATTTAAAGCATGCAAAAAACAAGTAGCTAGGGACGAGCCAGTTCAGTCTTGCCTCTTCCTCTAGTTTTAGGAGCGGAGCCAGATAACAAACTTTGAAGTGTCCTGATAATTTCCATCGTAGGGCGACCTAATTAGAAATTTCTAACTAGTAAAAATTTGTATTTTCCTGCACGAGTTCAAATTTCAGCGTCAGAGAAGAATAGTGCTGGTTTGCATGTTTTTTTTCAATCTTTTCATCTTTTTTTGATGAGATTGCAATCTCCATGTCTTGCAACAGAATCATGGTACATCCGCTGGGATATCGGACTATGCGTTTGTGAACCACTGTAGCATCGGCTGGTTTGGTGGGATTATCACCTGTGAGAGCGGCGGCGTACGAAAGCCCTGAGGCCATTATCGTGCTTCAGACAAGCACTGCAGAGCACCTGGCGCGTAAAGGATTAGCACTGCAGAGCACCTGGCTAGTTCGTATATACAGCATATTCATTGTGAAATTATGAATTAGTAAAAACCTTAACTTTCTTCAAATTTCTAATCATTTTTCTTCTACATAGAGCATACAGGTATATTTTTGGAATTATTTTGTTATAGTAACAAGGTGACTAGTTCTAGGTTTGAGTATGCTGGCTACTCATCACCCATGCCAAAAAAAAAAAAAAATTATATTTTATTCATTCCCATAGACTCGTTATCTTTTTTATAAAGTAACATAATAACATAATTCCTTTAGGAAATTATTTTTGTTAAAAGGAAGACTACATAAACTGAGAATAGAGAATTTCATTTTATTTTAAATCTAATATAATTACTGGACAATACTCTTTTCTAAATTATATTATGAAGTATACACATCTTTTTAGAATGCTCTTCACTGATTTTTTGATGAATGTTATTTTATCTTTCAGGAGGATGCTGATAACAACTGTGTTTATCGAAATGAGATTCACCATGCAATTGGTGAGCGCACGCAAGTCCTACAAGATGTAGCAGCTGATCCGACTCTACCTCGTACTAAATCTGTCCAATGTGCTGTGTGCAATCACCCAGAAGCTGTTTTCTTTCAGGTCATTATTGTTTGTTTTTTATTTTTTGGTTGGTATATGGTGATGTTTGAAGCTATTTATTTATTTTGGTAGATAGTGCTAAATCATGTGTTATACTTTTGATGCAATTCAATCATGAAAACTGATGTAAGAGATAGTTTTAAACCATCTAAGAGAATGCATTTATGGATTGTTTCTTGACTATCGATAAAATACACTTGTTGAGAGAAACTCTTAATAACTTATGTCGCTTGGTTCGAGTATTTTAATGTGCAACTAATTAGTATCTTCAAGATATTCAAATTCGAAGTTAGCTAGATTTAGTATGTGTTAAATGTTTATTTGACTGTTCCTCAATTTTTTTTCTTCTCTATTATAAGTAGAGAGATTCTCCTAGTGAATTATTTAACAAATATTTCATCTTTTATATTGTATTAGAGCCAAGCTAGCTACCTTGGCATCTCGACTCCCTTAGCTTCCCTTATGTGATAATTCTTCTTATGCTTGCTCACCCCCTGCTCTCACTCCCATTGTTATCTCATAAGGTTCTTACTAATATTGAATTATAAAATAATATTTCATAATATCTATGTTTGATACACTTCCTCTAGTGTGATGATTTTAATTGTGAATGTTGATCGTTTCTCCTTATAGTGAATGATAATTTAGGCATTTTTAAAGTAGCATCTTCAAAAGATATTATGTACAAAGATTTTGAGGCACCCCAGATACCTTTAGCATTGAGTTTACATATAATAATGGCGTTTTTTCTCTCAAATAAAATATGCCACAAATATTCTTAAAGAAAATAGTATTCTTGGATGCAAATATGTTGATTACCCCATGGATTCTTACAGACATCTCAAAATCAAGAAATCACAGAAAATGCTTTTCACTTTCAATTTTTTCTTTGTAAGTGCCTCCCTTAAGGGTCAGCTGAGCTGCAACAAAAGCGGGTATTCGGTCAGACTAAATTCTCACCAACACTTATCCTGACTTGCAGAATCAAGAATCAATAGGTGATGAACTAGCCTAACTAAATTATCTCAAATATATTCAGTACATTTCATTTTATAATTCATTCATATTCACATATTTGGAAGCGTGGAAATCATATCATCAAACATTTATATTTATACAGAGTTGTTAAATCCAACATAAATAAATAACGTCAAGCTCTTAAAACTATGAAATGCAAAAGTTTTACTAATTACACTTGAGTATTCACTCTGTGCTCTTTATCCCTTCTTGAAAGTCAACAACGTAGAGTGAGCAATAACGAGTTAGCGAAATAATCAAAGTTGAAATAAGATTTTTTAGATGAAAAGAAATAACACACATGCTCATATGTAATTTATGTACATGTCACAACGCATGACACAACATACTATAAACGTATAAAACAAGAAAAAATATATATAATGTAAGAAATCATGATTGTTGTATAAAAAATATATTTCATTCATTCATGTGAAATTATAAGCATATTTATAAGATTCATCAATGTAATTATAAGAATGTCACTTGTTATTGTATATATCTCAACTATTCTCTTGTCTTGTTATTGGGTCATCACCTAGCCCAAAGGTCATATTAACTATTGATAAATGTTGCTCCCCCCCCCCCCTCGGAACATAACAGTTATCAATTACTATCCTAGTTCTAAAGGTTCCCTATGCTCTATTGTCATAAGATCCCAACGGTTCCTTAAGTTTTGATCGTGACTGTATCCCAGAAGTTGAGAATCTCATTGTTCCCTATCATCCATACTTACAAGTATTCATGTAATATAGCTTACCTATAACATCACTTTTGACATTTCTTAAAACATAATTACCGTAAAAGTCATTCATCATAGGTATTTCATATATCATATGTATGAATCATAGTAAATGAATGTCTGCAATCAATGATTTCATAAGTATATTAATCAGATTCATAACATAGTATATCATAAGTTTTGCAATTGACAACAAGTTTGCATTCATACATTTATGCAGATATTCATTCACAATATGCAGAAACTTCTAAACGCAATAGTGTCAAACACATAACCACATGGAAACTTGCAAAAAGTAATTTTTCTTAGATTAACACAGGATTATTTCACATTAATTGATGAAGCAGCCTTACAACGAGTTTTTCAAAGCTCGTTTCAAGCTTGCCGCCTAGTATAAATAACCTGAAATTCATAAACATCTTAGGATTTCATAAAATTTTAGCACATTTTGTGATTTAACCCCAAACATGACTCATTTATGAATTCTTACCTCAAATGGACTTTTCTACTTAACGAGCTCTTCTTTGAGACTGACTATTCTTCTTCCCTATTCTTCCTTTCACCTTAATCCTCCATTTTTTTTTTGTTGATTGCTAATAACCATTACGGAAGCCCACAAATCAATTTCGTATTCTCCAACACAAGTTTACCTTCGCTATAGTTACCCGAAACAAAAAAAAGCACCTATTTGTGGAAAACATAAAAATGAAAGTGCAAGGAAAGTCTTGGTACAGTTAGCATAGCAGAGGGCGTCCTATTAAGTGATTTAGTCTCAGAGCATTGAATTGTCGTCTGTAGCATTTGCTTGTCACACCCCAACTGACCACTTTTGAAGGGTCGGCTGAAGTGCACAGGAAGCGGACAATTCAGTCATACTAAATTCTCACCAGCACCTTGTAGAATCAAGATTCAATGAGTGATGAACTAGTCTAACTAAATTGCTGCAAGCATATTAAATACATTTTATTTCAAAATTATCCACATATACTCGGAAGCATGAAAATAATAACATTAAAACATGTGTCTATATAGAACTGCTAAATTCAATATAGAAAAAATATTCACCAAAAGATTATACAAGCTTCCAAAAATATAAATGCAAAAGTTGTACAAGTCACTCATGATAGAATAATGAAGAGTGGTCAGAAACGAGCTCAGCGAAATAATCAATACTAATGTAAGATTTTATACATGAAAAAAACATGCATACTCGTATGTCTGTACATGCCTACACACAAGTCATAATATGTTAGAATCGTACAACACATGTAAAAAAAAACATACTGTAAAAAAATCATGACTGATTTATAAACCATGTATCATTCATTATTGTGTGTTCATTAGCATGTAATCATAAACATGCTCATAAGAATTATAACATGTTCATAACAATGTCATTTGTAAATGTATAAGCCTCAATTATTTTCATGTTTTGTCATATCATGAGTCGTCACCCTGTCCTATAGACCATATTAACTATTGATAAAGGTTGAGACCTCCCAACATAATAACTATTAATTACCCTCCTAATATCAACGGTTTCCTATGTTTTGTCACCATATGATCACAAATGTTACCAGAATTTCGTCACCGCTTGAACGCTAGGAGTCGAGAATGTTACATCCCTGCATAGTGTACTTACAAAAACTCGTGTAATAGTTTATATGTAACATCACTTGTGACATTTAAATCATCATTTCTAACATCACTTGTGACATTTAAATCATCATTTCTATGTCAAAATATTTATCACTTATAATTCATAGATCATGCATGAATCATATCAAATGAATATCTGCAAGCAATGATTTCATAAGTATATTCATCTGTATCATAACATATCATCACATGTATCGTAAGAGAATTCAACTTGCATTCATACATTCAATATAAATACCCATCCACAATATGTAAGAATTCTAAATGCATTATTGTCAAATGTGGAATCACATGAAAACCTATAGACAAATATTTTTCTTAAGTTAACTCAAGATTATTTCATGTGGCTAGACAAAACAGCCCTACGACAAGTTCCCACACGCCCGTTTCGAGCTCGCCACTTCGTGTAAAAAACTTGAAAATCATAGAAATTGTAGAAAATCATGGAATCATAGCTCGTTTTGTGATTTAACCTAAAACTTAACTCATTTGCCAAAAAATCAAACGGGCTTGCCAGCATAAGTCTGTCATTCTGGTACTGTTTATGTTATGAAAAACGACTATAATAAAGCGAAAAATTGAAACGAGAAAAATTGCACGTAAAGAAAAAAATATCAGAGCGACACAGATTTACGTGGTTCGGCAAATTTGCTTACGTCCACAGAGCTGCAGAGGATTTTATTTCTTAGAAGAATTATACCGTCGAACGCTTCAACGGAGAGCGCAAAAATCTCTAATTTCTTCTCTCCCTTCCTCTATCTTTTCTTCCTCGCTTTCTCTCTTAGAGGATTTGACTCTTATGACAAGTCATAAGTGACTATTTATAGAAACCAGAAGAGTTCTCTCTTAGAGGACTTGGCTCTTATGACAAGCCATAAGTGGCTATTTATAAAAATAGGTGGGAAGGTAGGTGAGATTCTTAATTAGGAGGCTAATTAAATTGTGGTGGATCGGGTCTCCACATTACCCAACAAGTAATTCATGCAAATCAGGATTTGGCGTTAAATCCTGAAAAATTCTACTAGTTGTACCGACTTTTTTCTCAAACATGATATCCTCCACCTCTGCAACTCGAAGCCCCTGTCTTCATGCCAGAATACCAGTTGAAGTTCTTCTCACGAGTAACACCCTCAATTGACATATCACTGTCAATGTATTCTTGTACCACCAAGCTTTTTCTTGGGTTACTCTTATATCTGCTTATAACTCCCACTGCATGAGCAATATCCTGCCCCTGCTGAAAGCTATTTTCAACAAGTCCAGTCTTATACCTCTTACTGCCACCAAACACAGTCTTCGCCCGGTACACTCACTTGTTGTGCAATGTCTTCTTCCTTGGTGGAAGTTCTGCCAGCTCCCAAGTCTGATTCCCTGGTAGGGAATCTGTCTCCTCATTCTTGGTCAGTTCTCACTTGCTCGAATTCTCATATTGCAAGATTTCTTCATAACTTTGTGGTTCTCCACCATTTATCTGTACAAGTTCCGGTTTTCCTGTCTTTGGCGCTCTACCACTTTTCAGGAAATTGACTTTCTTTTGCTTCCCCATAATGCATCTCTAACTCATGTGTTCACGCATGAGTAAACCTGAAGTCATATATATTGTGTCAATTTTCTTACCCCGAGCCAGTACCAATGCTCTTTTGATAACCTTCCAGGTGTTATCAGAGAATAGGACCACTCTCATCGAGCTGCCCAACAGATATGATGTTCTTTTTCATTTTAGGAATGTGTCTAACCTTTTGCAGGGTCCATTTGTTTTTTTTAGGGAGTGCAATTTCAACATCTCCCATCCCCACCACGTTCAAAGTTGCTCCATCAGCCAGGTACACCTTCCCAAAGTCACCTGCAACATAGTTTGCATCAGCATCAACTCCCAGTTTGCATCAACTCCCGGTGGGAAGATGTGTGAAAAGAAGCCGCTGAGTCCAGTATTCAGTCGTCAACAAAGCTATGAACTGCAAATAATAATGCATCATGCATTTCTTCAGTTACAACATTAGTGTCATCATTCTCCTTCTTCTTAGGATTCCTGCAGTTCTTTTTTATGTGGTCAGACTTGTCACAATTCCAGCAGGTTGTCTGCTGACCAGACTTGGATTTTGATATTTCTCTGTTTGAGTTCCTGTCCTGTGATCTCCCTTTTGAATCAACATTTAATGCTGAACTCGAACCCAAGGCCTCGCTAGAATCCTTCCTACGCATCGCCAAAATCAAGTCACGAATATCATCATATTTTAGCTTAGTTTTACCTGCAGAGTTGCTAACTGTCATCTTTATGGCTTCTCAGCTATCTAGCAATGAAACCAACAATATCAACGCTCGTATTTCATCATCAAAATCAATTTCAACCGACGATAATTGATTTGTGATGGTGTTGAAATCATTCAGATGTTGAACGACAGACACGTCTTCTGTCATCTTTAAATTGAATAATTTTTTCATCAGACACTATTATTCGCCGATGGCTTTTCATACATACCTGATAAAGTCATCACGAGATCCACAGTCTTCTTCTCCTTGATGACGTTGTGGGCAACGTATCTCGACAGGGTTAGTCGATTAACCCCCAGAACTTGTCGATCCAACAGATTCCATTCAGTCTCATCCATTCTTTCAGGTCTTTTCTATCTTCTCCAGTCGCTTTCCCAGTAACAGAAGATGATTCTATCTTTTCCAGTCGCTTTCCCAGTAACAGAAGATGAAGTTTATTCTCATAGAGGTAGTCCTCTATCTGCACCCTCAGTAACCAAAATCCGTGTCGTCGAACTTCTCGATCTCTAAAACCTTCACTTCGTCTCCGGTCATCGTTCTTCCTCAGATCTGAACCGGGGCTCTAATACCAGCTGTTATGAAAAACGAAGACAATAAATCGACAAATTGGAACGAGAAAAATTGCATGTAAAGAAAAAAACACCAGAGTGACACACAGATATACGTGGTTCGGCAAATTTGCCTATGTGCACGGAGCTGCAGAGGATTTTATTTCTTCGAGGAATTACACCGTCAAGCGCCTCACATTTACAAGAAAAATCTCTATTTTCTTCTCTCCCTTCTTCTCTCTTTTCTTCGTCGGTTTCTCTCTTAGAGGACTTGGCTCTTATGACAAGCCATAAGTGGCTATTTATAAAAACTAGGAGAGCAGTAGGTGAGATTCTTAATTAGGAGGCTAATTAAATTGTGATGGACCAGGTCTCCACATTACCCAATAGTCTATTCTTCTCTCTTCCTTTTCTCTTAATTCTCCTTTTCCCTCGTTGGTTCTGTGCTAAAAGCTCTTAACGAAGCTCACAATCCATGTTTGGTGCTTCCAACATAAATTCATTTCCCACCACAACCATCAGAAATAAAAAATACACAAATTTGTGCCTTACGATAAAAAAAGAAATAAGAGGATGGAAATAAATGTCTAGAATAGTACTAAATAGGATTTCATCCTTACAGATTTCTCCCACGAGCTTTAGACCGTATCCCGCGACTCCCAGACATGTCGCTCGCCCCTCTTCTATAGTACCCAATCATGGGAACTTCAGATGTGGGAACCAAGAGTAGGGGGAAGGCAGTTGGACGCGACACTTAAGATCCCTTTGGATTGAATCCAGCCAATGCATGCGCGTGTAAGTGCAGGAGTCGGATATAACTATGGTGCAAGATACGATAAATTATTCCGTACGGACACCGCATTCAGACATGTATGCGGTGTCGGATCTCCACCGTCGATGACCACAATAAAAAAAATTTTCTTAAAAAAAAAAGTTGAAAGTGGGTCCATCGAAATATATATTTGTAGTGATCGACGGTAAAGATCGGACACCGCATGCATCTCTGCATGCGGTGTCCGTATAAAATAATTTTTCACAGGATAATAAAATTATTTCGATCAAATTTTGAGGATGTAAAATTCGGATTAAAATTTACTAAAATTTTATTGGATTCACAAATTTTGGGCGTCACAATGCTGGTTGCGCCTCCTGCTCTGGCCTGCACTTGGTATAATAGCTCACGTAAGGTAGAATTCGGGAGAACTGAGGAATTCATTAAGCTTTCTATGGATTTATTCACCCTCACGGTTAAACCTGCGGGTGAGAATTGCATGGAATGGCTGTGGCTATGGCGACTTGGCTTTGGGAGTTTATTAAACAAATAGCTTCAAAATTTTATACTTCCCATTTTAATCAAAATTCATAGATGATACTATATATCAAATTAATCAATTCGGCGTGTAGGATTTTATAAAAAAACTTCCATTATATTAAATTTCGGGGGATGCAAAATTAATGATACATTTTGAAGTACAAAATTTTTATGTGATTTCTCAAATTTTAGGTGTTGCACTAAGCTTGTCTATTTACTATTATTAGACCTGACACTATTTGTTTTTAGAATGGATAATCGTCACATGCAAAATCACATGAGGATATATTCAAAGACTATTATGAGCATTTTGAAATATGTCCAAAAATGCTCTAGAGGATGATAAGTGTATTTGAGAAATAGTCATCCAAGGATTGAAGCATATGCAAATGTTAAATGTGCTTAGTCTATTAAAGATAAGAAATTAATTAATGATTTTTTGCCCTTTGGTGGAAATCTCATGTCTAGAAGAAGAAATAAACTCTCGTGACCCAATCTAGTGTTGAGGCCAAATACTAAGTCATGACTCATTGTGCATGTGGACTAATGTGGATTCAAAAATATAGTTTTCTTGTTAACCAACATATGATCTTAAATTGTGACAATCAAGCTAAAATTTACATGAGTAATTTTGTCTTCCACAAAAGAACTTAATATATCAAAATTGAATGTCACTTCATTCGGGATTGCCTCCTATCAAAGAAGGTCATGGCTACATATGTTGCCAATGAGGCTTAATTGGTAAAGATCCCTGTGCTCTTCATTTTCCCAACCTTTGTAACATATTGGAATTAGTTGGCATATATACCCCAATTAGAGAGGGAATGTTAGTGTATGAAAACATTGACTGAATGTTTAGATATGGTATGTGGTGTAATGTTTTTTGCTTTTCTATTATAAATAGAAAGGTTCTCTAAGTGAATAATATAACAAATACTTGCTTTGTGTATTTAAACTAATGATTTTGTAGCCCAGGCTACTGCAAGGGGGGAAGAAGGAATGACATTGTTCTTTGTTTGCTGCAACCCATCCTGCGGCCATAGGTGGAGAGATTGATGGTAGTGGAGGCTTCCGGCGGGGTCCTGGCCTAGTAATAGAGCTTAATGTTGTTTTTTAAGCTAAAAATTTAGTTTGTCGGGAGTTTTTTATCTTTTTTTTTTTTATTTTGTCAAGAGTTTGATTTGAAAAGCTCTGTTATTATTGACAAAAATTCATGGAGAACGGATGGGCGACTGGAATTTCTTCTTCTATTTCAAAAGATCTGTTTGGGATCACTTTTTGTTTTCTATTTTTATTGTCTATTTTTTTTAATTTTATTTTTAGAAAAAGTGTTTGGTAATGTTATGATTTATATGTTTTTAAAATAAAACATATAAATCATGTTTGACTGGTATTTTTTATTTTTTTAAAGAAAAATTATATTTTTTATAGAACGGTTGGGTTCACGTGCGCTCCAATAGTAAGCTCAGTTGTCCATGCCGTATATGACGTCTTATTTATTTTACTCAATATGATCATATCTTGTTGGCGTTAGGGGTGTAAACAAGTTGAACAAGAGTGAGCTCATATTTTCAGCCAAAACGAGTCGAACACGAACAAACAAATCTTTCATGTTCGACTAGTTAACTTGGCGGTTAACTTGGCGAACGAGCCGAACATGAGCTGTTCGCGAGCAAGGAGCCGTTTTGACAGCCCTACTAACCGAGGCATGTGAATGGCGGGCAGGCGGTTGCGGAATGAGGGCGGGTGGGCAGCGGAGGCGGGGCACATCGGATGGAGGCAACTGATTATGACGAGCGTGGCAAGTAGTTGTGGGTGGCGACAGACTAGCGGCAAGACTCATTTTCAGTATTTTAAAAACAGATAAAAATATTTTTTTCTCTTTCAAGTCTTTTAAAAACAGACATATTTTTCCAAAAAAATAAAAATCAAATAAGCAGATAGTGTTTTTTTTTTTTTTTTTTTTTTTTTTTTTTAAAAAAAAATTATCCCTTTTATCCCTTACAACCCTCTAAGAAATCTGTTCCATGGTGCTAGGATTCACTAATTTCTTTTACAGCATTAATAGTTGACTTGTATGCATGGGAAATAAGGTTGTCGAGAAAATTCTTTGTTTGTGAATTGCTCGTGTTTTGTCGTTAAATAATTTGTTTTCGATTTGTTCGTTGAGCAAGCAAATTGAATATCAACATTTTTTTTTAGTTCGATTTATAAATGAGACTAACACGAACAAAGATGTTGTTTGTTTATGTTCGGCTCATTTTAGTTTGATGTAATTAAATAATATTATTATTTATTATATAATTATTTATATTAATTATTATACTTTATTTAAAAAATGCTAATTATAAAAAAGTATAATTTCATGTGTTAAATATGAAAATACATAGGATTTGACTGGTATGCATGTAAACACTTCTAAAATTCTACCTCCTAATTTTAGGTGTTAGGAATGTAAATCTGTGGGATTTGGTTGGCAAGCATGTAAATTCTCCTAAAAAATTGCATCGTTTTATCAAGATTTTTGAAGTGAGGAGTGCCTACAAACAAAAACCAAGTGCGTTATTTAGAAAAGCTTTAGATTTGTGTGAATAATTTAGAGAGTTATGTCGGAACACAAATGTGCTAATTACGATTCATTTTGAACTTGAGTTGAGCACGAATAAAAAAAATTCAACAAGCAGAACACGAACAAGTATTTGAGTCACTCAAGCTCAGCTCGTTTATACCCCTAAGAGAGGAAAAACTTCCCAAAATACCTCAAAGCACTTATGGAATTGCTACTTATAGTGATATGCAATGTGCTAGCACGTGTGATTTTACAATAAAAAATAATACTTTAATTTACATATTTAGACTTTCAATAAAATAAGGGAAGAAGATAAGCAATGCAACAGTGAAGAATAAAAATTGAGTGAAAACATTCTTTTCATTAACCCATGAGGTTTGTACAATAGCTCTTTATATAGACTGAAAGCAAAATTCTAGAGATGAGACAGGTTGATGTCCTGTTATGGGAAAATATTTGTGATGTATTACACACGCAGAGTTGCGTCTGCGTGCGTAATAACCCCGTAATAACCTATATTTCGCGATTATTAGAGGATTATTGGGAGGTTATTGAGGCATTAATTCCAATAACCTATAACCATAATAACCTTCCAATAATCTTTGCATGTTCTATTTAGATGTTATTCATAGGTTATTATCGGGGTATTGCAGAATTAATAGAGAACGCATGCAGAGTTGCGTGCGTGCGCAATACGTACGCAATTATTTCCCCCTGCTATAACATCCGGTCGTGGTCTGTTGTGGAGGATGGGGGATCTCGAGTTGTGGAGCTGCTGCTCAAAATGATGCTCTGTTATGAGAATATGTTGCATCTGCTACACTTAAAAGCGAATCAATAGAAACAACTCAACATTTGCTCATTTGTTCATGATAGACTCACTTTTATTTGTTTATTTTAATTATAAAAAAAATTGATAATTTTTTTTTTTAATTCTACATACAAATAAAAAAGTTTAAATAATGACCTATCTTTTCGTTTGTGAATATTCTTTTGTTGTTGTGAATGTTTTTATTTGTTGTTTAATAATTGGCTTGCTAATAATTGAATAAAACATTTATTTAATGATGAATTATTTATTTTTTAAAACTTAACTGTCAAATTATTATACTGCTAGGAGCATAAATATGATAAAAACAATGAGAAAATAGTAGTATAAAAAATAAATTAAATTATTTTAAATTAACATTTAATAATAAAGGCATTGGATAAATAGTTTAATGCATATATTAAAATTTTAATTTTACCATCCATACAAATTAGAAAAAAACTTCACATGAAAAATTATCAAATGAAGAAAAACATATAATAGATATATAAATACATATATAATAATTATTATTATTATTATTTTAATTATTAAGATCTCTATGTTGCTTTATATAAGCTCCAATTCAGCAAGACAGCATTAAAAATCAAAAATTTCAATCAACATTGTAAAGAATATTTTATATACATACCACAATTTTTATTTATTTACATGTTTAACATCAAAAGTCTGATATTTACATTCTTAAGCCCAGGTATATTCAAATTTGACTCAAGACAGAAATAATTGAGCAAAGCAGTCCTCTGATTTGATGCTCACTAAAGTCCTGGAAAAGAATCCTAAATCTGCAATCACAAGGGAGGAAATTTATAATGCATGAAAGGCGCAAAGAAAAACTGCCAAACAATATAAAATTCTTCAGAGAAAATCTAAGCATACGACCTGAAACAAGAGTTAGAAAAGTTTCCTATCTGTATTCTGTATTGTGTGTTGGATCAGAGAAATTTTTCCATATGGAGTAGGTACGCAGTTTTGCGTGCAGACTCCAATAATATGCCGGCGTGTGTTATATCGGGACGAGCTAAAAAAAATTAGAGTGGAATCGTGGAGGTTATTTGAGAGGATCATCGGGGGGTTATTGAGGGGTTATTGGGACATTAACTCAAATACGCTGCAATAATCACCTCAATAACCCCTAAATAACCTCTGGGATTCTATTTCAATAACCTCTCCATTAACACCTACAATAACCCCTAATAACCTCCACAGTTTCACGTTAATAACTCCACAATAACCTCCAAGTGGTGGCATATTACTTGAAGTCCATACGTACTGCGTATGGAAAAATTTCTCGAGGGCTAGTATTTAGATGGAAGACTCAACCTTCCTAGTAAATAAAATGTTTACGAAAGATCCAGTAAAAGCAGACTTCACAATGCTCCAAGTACGAAACCCGAGACTTAAATATTTCAATTTGTTCCAAAATTTGTTCAAATAGAAATGTTCTATCACAAGGCCCTATTTAGCTGCAATGAAACAGAAGCTGCTGCAGCCTCTGCTATCAATGAAATAGGTTGGCGAGCTTGTAAGCAAGCACCTATGTCAAAGGGAACCAACTGAGATCCATCAAACAGAAGATTTACAGCAGGTAGGACTATTTCTTTGCTTTCAGCATCATCTGATTCCAATTTTCCTGTGGTCATCAAAGCCGAGTCGTCGATTGGTCTTGTCGCAGCCTCGTAGACTGGAGCGAGTGCATATGACCTGCAATTAATTATTGAAGATTAATAATATATGGCAAGAATTATTTTATAGGAAGATTTACCTCCATGCTAATCGATTCTTATGTCTAACACCTAAACCACGATTTTTAGGTTTGTGCCGCCTTACCTATGCATGAAAAGGTGTATTTCACATTCTGAAAGTTCAAATAGTGATATTTTGATGTGATATGAAAGATTTGGGCGGTATAAATGCAAAAGAGTAAAGTTTAAGTGTTAGATATGTACATAAATAGGAATTGGGTGGTATGTATTTAAATTTAATACATTTTTCTAACTTAGATGTTCCGGTGGTATTGGATATTTTATATGCTACAGAAACATTGTTATAGCTTAAAGTTTTAATGGTATTGGATATTTTTATATACGATGGATAAAACCCAAATCACAATAGACATGAAAATATTATTGCCGACATTCAAATAGGGTACGACGACTATTCGAAGCAGGAAATAAAAGACAAGAAACATAAAAGGATACCCGAGGGGCATAGGCGAAGGTGTTGAAGGGTGACTGGACAACAAGTCGGGTTCGGATGGGCGGTGGTTGCTGTTAAGGTAGGAGAGTGGAAGTGGGGGATTGGTAGCAGCTCAAGGGGTGGCGTAGGGCTGACAGGTGGTGGCTGTTGTGTGGAGGCTGCAACAGGAAGAGTTGCAGGAAAAAGCTGACAAGAAGATGTCAGGGGGCTGCGGCTGGGAAGCAGGGCAGGAGGATGGCAAGCACAAGCTTACAAGAGGGAGGCGGCTTATAGCGAGAGTTTATGGCAAGGAGGAGGGCAGGGGGTGAAGGGCGGCAACAGCATGGGCTGGGGTTACGGTTGGTGACAAGGAAAACCGGAAAGGGGGTGGTGAGCGGCAACATCAATAAGGAAAGAGAGCCTAACGGTACAACAGTAATGATAGTGAAGATTGCAGATAAAATAATTATCCCCGCGGGAGCGAGCTACAACAAGAGCATCCCTTGACCCCTTGGAGAAGATCACGATCTCGGACTATTTGCAGTCGGAACACTTTCTCTCTTTTGGATACAGCCCTAGACGGGAAATAGCTGCCGACGGCTAGCTGGACAGAATTCTCAAACACCAAAAAAAAGAAAAAAAGAACCCACAAAACAGAGAAAAAAACAATTAAATGTAGTTAATAATTAAGGGGAATCCCACCTCACTTGGGCCACAAAACCCCAAGGCAAGGACCGACGCCCCTTTGAGACCCTTGCTGAAACGATTTAGCAGCCAGTTCAACCCCAGGGTAAGCCCCACGCCAGTCTCGTGCGATTTAGGGAGCCTCTACTTTCATTCGCCAAACGTTTTGATTCTTTGTATGCGGTCATAGCAGCACCTGGATACTAATATTGGATGTACTGTCTCCCAAATCCAAGGTCGGCTCACCCTAATCTAAAGTGGGGATAATTTGAGCCTCCTCGAATGGTTGTGGTCATGGCCGCAAGGTATCGATTGTGCTATCCTGAAACACTCTCTTTTCTGTCTATCCCATGTCTAGAATTTTTATCTCGGTCTGGTCCTCCTCCATCTTCATCAAAATTGATCCCACTATTATTCCTCACCTAAAATCTCGGGGCTCCGCAGAAAAGAGAAAGAAGATGTTCTTCCCCTCCTTGGTTAAGGAATAGATGTTTCTGAATCCATCGTGTTAAGTCATGCGGTCAAATTGTCATGATTTCCCAAATAAAAAATAACAAGTATCCATAGGCACTACGTCACACCACACTTGATCTGCAACTGGCTTACAATCAAAAACTTAAACAGGCATCTCCGGTCAATTTTGAACATGTTTTCCTTCTTCAGTCATATCAGAGAATACGGTTGGGCATGCATCCGAGTCATGAAACCCAATTTCTCCACAATCTGGGAAGACGTCACGTTCTTACTGCTCCCTCCATCAATCATGAGACTACATACCTGCCCGTTCACAGTGTGGATCCCCTCATATGTTAAGTCTGCATGATGTATCGAACCATGAGCATCTTACTCTCATCCGGTGGAAAATGGAACACTTCGCCCTATTCCTCAGTTGCCTTCTTGTCGCTAACATCCTCCACTGCGCCATGCTTGGTAAAAGAAACAGCTCAACTTGTCAGACAACTGGATGTGATGTGCCCAAATTCATGATATATGAAGCATTTTATGGCAGAGACTGTAGTAGGCATGTTATTTTTCTCAGGCTTCTTCTCACTCGGGGTGGCTCGGTCCTTATTCGAACCAATTTACTAAAATTCCTGAGATAGGCTTCTGCTAATGTATCCCACTCCATATGGTTGCCTGACTTGTGATGGTTGTCTGCTCTGTTTCTGCCTCTCCACCTTCAGGGCTAAAGTTGGGACATCTCTCAATTTCCAATGAAGTTGCAGCTGCACGACGTTGTCAATAGCGGGTTTCAGACCAACCAGATATTGGGCTATGAAATGTTTCTCCGGCTCGACTAACTCACACTTCATATGCAACTGGTCAAACTGTGCTATGAACTTTGATGATAAATCTCTCTGTAATAGGTGGTGGAGTTTCATAAAAATATCCCATCGGTAATGAGTATGTTATTTTCTCTACTGGAGTCAAACTGTTCCTCTGGCTCGCCTTCCTCATCTTCTCTTAATTAGAAATCTTGTCACTTCCTTGGTGGCATGATTAGGATTTAGCAATTGGAAGAGTGTGGGTTGACGATAGGAATGATTTTTTTTTTTTTTCCTTTTTCTGGGGTTGGGGGGGTCTTCCAGCTCATGACTGTTGCGTGTAGGCTGCAGTTGGGAGGACTGTTGTGTGTAGGCTGCAGTTGGGAGGGTTGCAGGAAAAAGCTGACGGGAAGATGTTAGGGGGCGGAGGCTGAGAAGCAGGGTGGAGGAAGGCAGGTAGAGGGTTACAACAGAGGGGGCTGATAGCAGAAGTTTAGGGAAGGGAGGAGGGTAGGAGGTGAAGGGCGGCAACAACAGGGGTTGGGGATTAGGATTGGTGGCGGGGAAAATTGGAAAGCGAGTGGTGAGCAGCAACAACAATAAGTAGGGAGGGTTTGATGATACAGTAGGAATGACAGGAAGGTTGTGGATAGGATGACTATCCTTGTGGGAGCGAGCTACAGTTGGAGAACCGGTCGACTCTTTAGAGAAGATCACGACATCAGACGAGTAACAACCGAAGTACCTTGTCGTCTTCGGATACAATCCTAGACGGAAAACATCCGCCAAAGGCTAAATAGACAGAATTCTCAAACACCAAAAAAGATAGAAATATATAAATAATAGCAGATAACTAAAAGGAAATCCCCCCAAGTCCAGTTCAGCCCCAGGGTAAGCCCCGCGTCACTACAAGATGTTGCCTAACATCTCAAGCAACATAAGTTCAACTTTTCTATTAACATTGCATACTATCCATGTAGATTATCATGTCGGTGCAACTCTTTTTTATTTAAAAAATATGAGCTTCAAATTATCAATAGAAGATTACCTCTATATCGCAATGAAGACGTTGTTTTAACTCCTGAAGATATTTGGCGGACATATAGAAAGAAAGAAAGAAACTGCCACTTAACATCTACTACCAAAAAAATAAATGCTTTCAATTACTGGTTGCATGCTGTGCAAGTTGAAAGATTTCATTAGAGAATGCAACAATTTTCTTTTTTTAATACATATTTAGCGTATCCAGCTTAATACAATTAGGCTAAACATCACACACTGTATGATGTTGACAATTTTCATATTTTTACAATTGCATGGAATTTGTTGATGTCTGATAATATGAAGAATTGCCAACAGAACAGAAATTAAACAATACTTCCGTATAGTAAAATAATTTCACATGGTACCTGAGAATGTTTCCATCAAAACTGAGGACTTCAGTTCGGCATCTGTGCCTATTTGCTATTTTAAGCCTCTGGTGTTCACTAGCAGCTCCAGATATTGGCGTTGAAGGATCTAGTAGGGGGCTCCAACGTCCACTGGCATAGTTAATTAAATGATGAGGTGATTCCTTTGTACGGTCGGTCTGGTAAAATAATTTTGCCGTAGGACCTGTTGCATGGTACTCCGAACAAATTTCACGCAGCTTCTTTCTCAGATCTTGCATTGCCTCATGATGCTCATAGAGTGAATTTGACTGAAGCAAACATGATGAAACCAACCTATCACATATCCTGCTGCATAATTTTGGACTGAATAAAGGTATGCCAAATTCCATGCTCAACGGAACCCATTTGAACTTTTCCTTATCAGCTATAAAAGAATCAGGTTTTTTTTCCTTCTGGAGCCTTAAAAGCCGAATATAACCAATTGTCCAGGATCCAAATTTGCCTGAAAGTTCATCTAATAAATAATTTAAGCTTTCATTTTCTTCTAGGTCTAACCCCATATCCTCAACATGGGTAACCGATCCATCTAAGTTTTTCAGGGGCAATGCAATATCAACAGTGATGATTCTTCCAGACTCATCTAGGTCAAGTGTATTGAGAGGTTGCACCAGCACAGCTGAATATTTGATAATTGAATTCAAGCAATGAAGAAGAATATTACCATTAACCAAGTTCCCTTCAAATTTGCCACCAAGCCCACCTATTGTAGATCCATCCCAAGACCATATCAATGCCTTTTTGCATCCTACTAAGGGTGCAGGAAGCATGCGCAGGCTCTGCCCTTTCATCAAAACAACTGATACAGGACCTGATCCCATCATTGTGTATAATACTAACTTCATCCAAGGTGTCATTGATGAATAAGAGGGTGGACCGAAATGGATAGGACCACTAGCTCCAGGTAAAATTGAAGAAGAAGGAAGAGGAACCATTGAAACAATAATGTCATAGTCCCTGAGAAATAAACGCTCTAATGTTGCTGGTGCAAGAGAAGCCAAGCTTTCACAACGAAGGATATCTACTCGATATTTCCTTTTTATCATCAATTCCATTTTTGAACCATCCCGCAACACCCTGCTGTCGTTCTCTAAATCATTATTTTCCTTGCTATTATCAATTTCAGAGGAAGCCTTAGAAAGTGCTTCAGGCTTAACACTGGGAAACTGAGATTCATGTAAACCAGAATCAACATTAGAATTCTGATTATAATCAAACCTCAGAGTTTCATCATCATGCTGCTTCAGCCCACCACATTCATTGATTGGATCAACATCACTTGAAGATGGAGAAATCCCAGAATTGGTGAGCTGCACGTTAACTTGATGACTAGCCATGTCAAATATTTCATCACTAGAAATTCCACCTGACTGTAAGCACTCTAGAAAGCAACGAAGGCTAAATGCATGGTTGGCAAATTCCTGCAGTTCACCTTCAAATTTTTTCCCTTCCAAAGTAGATAGATCCTTGCAAAGATCTGCTATAACTGTATCACCAAGCTTCCCCGCTTCATACAGAGTCACAGCATGGGACTTCAATCCTGTAAGAGGTTTTCCAGAAGGAAAAAAAAAAAGAAAAGATAGTTAAATTTAGTGTAATAAACATACTATTAAGATCCAAAATACTCAGTGACGCAGGGCTGGAAAGGGGGACCAGCTGAACCGATCCCTGCCCGGTCCAACCCTGCATGACCGGCTGGGCGGCCGCCAGAAGGGACAGGAACTGCCGCCCACAAATTTCCCCTTCCTTTCCAGTTTCCCTCCTATTCCCCTTTCTTTTCCTTTACTCTCCTTTTCTATTTCTTGCCATTTTTATGCCTTCCTTTTCTATTTTCTTCCTTATTCTGATCCTTACCTATTCTACTTAATAATATCTATTATTTATAGGTGGTGTTTGCTTAGAGGTGATTGATTTGTTTTTTTAACTCAGAGTCCGCCTCCAACACTTTCCCCCGAGAGCTGTATCCGAGGACGAGAAGGTGGTCCGGCTATAACTCAACTGAGATGGTTCCTATCTCCACCTGCTCTGTCCAACGCATCCAGACCATCACAGGGCACCTTCATGTGTTTCCAGAAGTGCTACAACTCCATCCTGTGCGCCAACATTGTTGCAGAACCCCCCTACTGTGATTCCAGGGTGCCGCAAATCCCTACCCAAGCCTCCAACAGACTGCCTGCTCCTCCTGAGCACTTCCCCGCACCTGTCAACTTCATCCTTCACCCCAGCATGCACAGCTCCCTTCCAGCTGGTCGCAGTTTCCTCCGATATTCCCAACCGGCCGCTGCCTCTCTTCTAGAGGGCCACCAGTTCATTCTTGCATCCTCCTTTAGCTGCCAACTCCTTTCAGGCATCCCCCCTACAGCCCGGACCACTCTGACTCTTCCAGCAGCTGTTAGTCACTCTACAGCAGGCCGCCACCATCTCCGAACAACTCCTAGCAATCCGTCAGCCACTTCTGCGCCGCAGGCTGTCGACTCCTTGCACCTCCCTGCAGGCCGTCCATCAATTCCGCGCCTCCAGCAGCCCGTAGACTCCTGTGGCTCCCCTCTGGACCCTTCCAACAACCACCCGCACTAGCTGCTGCCATAATGCAGTCCCACCTTACAGCAGCCACCCGCACCAGCTGCTACCTTACACCTTCAACAGCCTCCCGCACCCGTTGCTCCCTCTGTTCGCAGACAACGGTTATCTCACCATCGGCACCCGTAGATACTCTTTCCTAGGCCGTAGTCGTTATTGTCTTGTTTTCGTTGTAGTTTCGAGTCTGATTGTATCCTTCGTTGTTTGCTTAATAATATTTCTCTTTCGTCGTTGTGGTTTCAGTTAACTCTGATATCTTGTGGTATCAGAACTAGCCTAACCCTAATCCTGATCCCAAACATTCAACCAAGCCCACGAGGAAATGCCTACCAGACACCACCCGAGATGAAATACAAAGGGAGATTTATCATCTGCAACAACAGAGACTAGCAAAAATAGATGTGGAAACCAAAGGGAAATTACCTTCAATCGTGATTGAGGAAGTCGAAGCGGACAAGGACGAAGATATGAACCCGTTCCACAAAGAAGACACCAGTGACAAGGAATGTTGACAATATCAGAGGAGGTCGAGAAAAAAGCCCACATATGGGGGGCACAAGGACTTCACTATCAAAGTAGTTCTGCCAGAGTTTGATGGAGGCATAGATCTGGATGACTTTATTGACTGGTTACCATCAATGGAGCGAATCTTCGAATATAAAGTCATGTCAGAGGATACACAGGTAAAGTTAGTCGCCATTAAGTTGAAAAAGAGTTCCTCGCGGTGGAGAACTAGTAGAGGCGGAGGAAAAGAGAAGGATGTAATAAAATTTCCAAATGGGAAAAGGTGAGGAAGGAACTGCAGAGAAAATACCTACCACCTCACAACCGCCAAGACATATTTCTGAAGCTCCATCACGTACAGCGGCAAGATCTCTTCATAGAGGAATTCACAGTGCAGTTTGATCAATTGCAAATAAAGTGTGAGTTGTTAGAACCAGAGGAACAAATGTTACCCGACATTTGGGGGGCTTGAAGCCCACTATTAGCAATGTGGTATAACTACAATGCTATTGGTCCCTTGGAAATGTTCATACATTAGCCTTAAAGGTTGAAAGGCAACAGAAGCAAACCAGGCCACAAAACTTTTTCAAGCAACCATACTCATTCAGGCCATTACTTGCAACTATAACTACAAACAAGTCTACTTCAAGAGCAAGAAAGGCAATATCAAAGAGTGAAGACTGAGTCTAGTGGGAAGAAGCAAGACAAGGGTAGTCCTTTCGGGACATTGCCTGCCAAAAACTACTTTCGGTGCCACGGTTACGACCACATACCCTCCAGCTATCCCGCGAGCTAGGTCGTCTCATTCACTGACCAAAACGTGTCTAGTAGATAGAGGAAGAAGAGTCCGAGGATAACCTAGAGGAAGAGCTTCAACCCAGGATGACAGAGGAGAAATGTTAGTTATGCGGAGTGTTGCGGACAAAACCTGAAAGAGAACAATCATGGCTAAGGCACATCTTCCGCACCAAGTGAACGGTAAAAGGAAAGATTTGTAGTTTGATAATCGACAGTGAGAGTAGTAAAAATGTAGTATCCATGTTGATGGTGAAAAAGTTAGGATTATCCAAGCATAAACATCCTCAGTCCTATTCCCTCGCCTAACTATAATGGAGAAATGAGATACAAGCGGATCAAAAAAGCCAAGTTGACTTCTCAGTTGGTAATCAATTATAGGAGTAGGTATGGTGTGATGTTGTTTTGGATGGATGCATCTCATATTCTACTGGGGAGGTCTTGATAGTTCGACTGCAAGGCTCAACACTGCGGCTTCAAGATTACTTATAATTTTAAAGACAGTAAGCACATCGTAATGTTACCTATTAAAGATACAAGAGGAGTAGACGAAACAAAGGAAGCATTAGTCTCGAGAGTGACTTTCATGCAGTCAATTTGAGATGCGCCAGTAGCACTAGCCTTAGTACTACTGGAGGTGACAAAGATAGGCAATGTAATACCAGCACCGCTCCAACCAATACAACAAGACTTTCAGGGCATGTTTGGTGTTGACCGACAGTCTTCCCAAGGGATATTCAACATGCCATAGATCTCATAACAAGATCAGAGTTGCCGAATCGGCCAGCCTACAGGCTAAGACCAGTAGAGTACAAAGAGTTACAACAACAGGTGCAGGATCTGTTCGTGAGAGGATTAGTTTGAGAGAGTACAAGCCCCTATGCTTCCCGCATTAATGGTACCGAAGGAAGATGGGACATGGAGAATGTGCATCGACAATAGAGCTATCAACAAAATTACCATCAAGTTTTGATTTCCCATACCTCGCTTAGATGATCTTTTAGACCAGTTACACTGAACCGCAATCTTTTCGAAGACTAACTTACACAGTGGATACCATTAGATATGGATGAGCCTAGGAGACAAGTGGAAAACTACTAAGCTGAATGACATAACTGTCCACTCATAGGTGTTCCGGTTTACATTGAAAATTTTGAGGTAGTCTACTTCGACAACATTTTAGTGTACAATAAATATGAGGAGCACAAACAACATCTGAGGGTAGTGTTCGACGTTCTGCGAGCGGAGCAATTATATGCCCATCCAAAGAAGTGTCACTTCATGATAGACAATGTATGTTTTTGGGGTCATAGCGTGACGAGTTTAAGTATTTAGATGGATGCTACGAAGATCAAGGCCATTATAAGTTGGACTGCACCGCAACTAATCGCCAAGCTAAGGCAATTTTTGCGGCTAGCATCGTTCTACCAGAGATTCATCGGAAACTTCAATACTATAACCGCCCCTCTGACACAGACAACGGCAGCTCAGACCTGCTTCAACACCATGAAGGAGAAAGTGAATTAGGTGTCTGTGCTAGCCTTACCAGTCTTCAACCAACCCATTGAGATAGAGTGTGACACATCTGACAAGGGGATCAGAACAGTGCTGAGCTAGGGGTCATCCCATCACCTACTTCAGTGAAAAGTTGAATGAATCCAGAAGGAAATACTTAACATATGACAAGGATTTTATGTCATTGTTCGAGCTCTAGATCACTGGAGTCAATACTTGCTGACAACCGAATTCACGCTATGTATGGACCACGAGACCTTGAAATTTCTCAATAAGAGCAAGCTGAAAGGTTGATATGCCACCTGGGTGAAATTTCTAACATCATTCCAATTCGTGCTTAAGTACAAGACGGGAAGCCATAACCGTGTTGCTGACACACTGAGTCGTCGCCACTTTTTGCTCACAACAATGTGAACACGAGTTGTGGGATTTGACGTCGTAAAGGAATTGTACAACGCAAGAGAGAACATTAATAAAATATGGGAACAATGTCAAGAGAAATTGATCAGGCAACATTGCCAAGTAGATGACTACTTATTTCACTAGAGTCAGTTGCGCATTCTCAGGTGCTTGCTGAGAGATGTCATTATTTGGGAGAGTCACAATGAAGGATTAACAGGACATTTTAGCAAGGACAAAACTCTTGCCCTAGTGCGGGAGATTTTCTTCCGGCCCTGATTGATAAGAGATGTGAAGCGACGCGTCAAGCAGTGCAGAATTTGCCATCTAGCAAAGACGAGTGTGCAGAATGTGGGTTTGTACACTCCCTTACAAGTACCTGAGGCACCGTGGGCGGCATTATTATAGATTTCGTGGTGGGTCTCCCAAGAACAAAGAGGAACAAGGACTCCGTGATAGTTATAGTGGACTGCTTCTCAAAGATGGCACATTTTTTTTCCCTGTCACAGGACACTGGATGCGTCTCATATCGTTTTATACTTCCAAAAGATTGTGAGGTTGCACAAGATTCTCAGAACCATTACCTCTAATAAAGAAGTCAAATTTCTAAGCCACTTCTAGAAAACTTTATGGGGGAAGCTAGACACCAATGTCCAATTTAGTTCAGCAGTTTATCCAAAAACGGACGGCTAGACATGGGTCGTGAACATGAACATAAGAAACCTCTTGACATGCTTTGTGGGGAAGAAGATCAAGCAATGTGCTATCACCCATATAACACCCAAATTCCATAAACTAGATAAAGTTTGACCAATTTTAAAAGTACCCAAATTTCCCATCCTCCAAAAGTCAATCGAATTATTTTTATAAAATTATGTGCAAAAAATAAATCAATTTGATATAAAGTATTGATATAAATTATGAATGGTGTGGGAGATATAAAAGTTTAAAGTTATAAGTATAATGAAATTAATTAATCCTTGATTATGTCCTAATCCCCCCTTAATCTTGCAACACTGTAGCTAACCGACCTCAGGCAATATTTTATTCTTTTCATTTGCTTGAATAGGGTGTCCCCTCGAACCAACGCCAGCAAAAAATTTGTCGCAAAAATTTTGACATTAATCCTTTTGATCATTGTGTTAAATGCTAGGGCGTCCCCTGGAAGTGAAGCGTTGTATGACCTGAATACAGTGAAAAGTATGCAATGGTTGCTACATCGGCGCCCGGGTGTATTGTCAAATAAGCAATGATTATCACATTACGGACAGAGGAGGATAAATAAATTAGACCATGAAAATAATATTAGTAATGAGTCTTGGAATATAGATACTATTACAGGTAAATTAGTAGAATTAATTGATATTATGATTCATAGAAATTTAAATATTTTATGTATTCAAGAAATTAAATGGGTTGGAGAAAAGACTGAGAAAATTGATAACTAAATTGATAACTTAAGTTTTTTAAGTTTTAAACTTCAATATTCAGGTAAGAGTCGAACTAAAAATGGGAATTAAAACAATTCCGTCGGGAGACCATTTTGGTTTCCATTTAAATAGTTTAGAGACTAAATTGGTCGTTTGCATAGTCATAAGCTATTTTAGTTGCTTGCAAATAATTAGGGGACTATTTTGGTCCTTTTTCTCAGAAACCAAATTTCACTTAATAATTAATCATCATGAAAATTTTAGGTCATGATCTTATACGAAGGGAGATATAACTTGCTAGAAAGAAGTCTAAATAAACTAGAAAATTATAAAAATATTAACATCTAATATTTTCTAATAAGAAAGTACTAAAAAGGTACGAAAAATAACTAAGAAATTCCATGTTATTAATCTTGATTGTAAATTCTGATCAGAGAAAGATTATGATTCAAAAGAATCAAAATTCTCCTGATTGGTGTTTCACTTAGTTGCCTACTAGCACAAAAAAATATGTTCGTCGTGTGAAGCATTCTAATCCTATAACACAAACGCACACAAGGGTAGGCTACAAAAAAAAAACATAAAAAATAGCAGGAATAGTACAAAGACAAAACAGAAAATACCAAACCTGGTGAAATAGAACCCATCATCAGGTATGAAGTTATATTGGCATCTACAACTAGTGCCACACGAGCAGTATCAGAAAGAGGCCTATTCTGTTCTATCCCAATGCCATGAACTCCTACGGTCTCTGAACTGATACTAGCCATAGAAACATCTTCATCATCGCTGAGAAGAGTACTAGAAGAGATATCAACACTTGAACTTCTTAGAACAGCCTCTGGATCTATAATCTTTACAGCCCAACCTAATCTAGAAGCAAATGAAGCAGCAGCCTGTAGCTGAAAAAGGTCAGCTTGGAGAGTTGAGGCCAACTCTGCAACAGTTGCATTCTCACTTGAAACTACAAAAACAGCATATAGTAATCTGTAGAAAGATTACCCCTTTAAAATTAAAATAAAGTAGAACGAAACATATCAATTGCATTTGGAACCCAAGGAACATACTCTTCAATGGGATCTTCATAAGACTGCTCCTTGTTAGAAACAAATCCTTCCAGCCTTGAGACTGTTGGAGCAAATAGTAATGATATAAATACCCATTCAATCATTCAAAAAAGAAAACAGAACCTGAAACAAAAACAAAGTAATTTGCAGTAGAAATTAAGCCCCCTCATCTAATGATACACTTAACTTCTTTTGTTTGAGTTGAGTGACAGATCACTGACTAAAATGAACTGATCTTGACATGTTTTGATGAGCGGAACTATTACAGAATTCTTACTTTTTGCTACATAGACAATCATTTGCCCAAGCAATCATTAAAAAAAATTCATATTACAGTAAGTTATGATGTAAATCTGATGTCAATTGATTGCACGCGGTGAAAACTCAACATTTTGTATTGTTATAACTGAGATTACAATCCCAACAGCATCTCCGTTCTTCTTTTTTCACATGTAAACAACATTTCTATCAACCATTTCAGCTCACCCGCGAGGTTTATGATCATAAAGAACAAGAATTTCTTTTTTTATTATTTATTATTTTTTTTTATAAATAACAAGAATTGGTACAATTAAAGTCCGTTTTATTCTGAGGTTCTTTCCAACAAACATTCCATTTATATTTCAAGGTATATGGCAGTTAACCAAGTAGTTGAGAGGCCCGCTGAATTTAAAAGCAACCAAGTCTCAATTTCAAAAAACTGAAGCCAGTCCAATATAAATATTGTTGCTGACCATATTCAAAATGTAAAATTAGGCATGAATATTAAATTGTTGCATAAAAATCAGTAGGAGGGTCTGAGACTAAGATTAACCCAGTTTTTACTTCACCTCTATGGTGATTTATCATAAATTTACAGTAAGAATCTAATATTCTATCAAACTCACTAACGAGTTAAAATTTGTAGCATCAAAAACTGTAAATTTTTTAATTTTTCATTATGCTTTATAGTTTGACTAATAAGAATAATTATATTTTGTAAATTTTTATTTCTCATAAATATGTTTGATTATAATTAATAATATTGATTTTCATAATATTTTATTTGAATTTGCTGTTAAATGAAAATCAATATTATTAATTATTAATAAAAAACAGAGGTCTCCTTAAAACTTTTATTTTGAGATCGAAGGAAAAAAGATCTATCTGAAAGCTGATCAGAACGTTATAAAATTTAAGGCTGCAGCACTCAACAATCAATGAAAGAACCTAGTAAGTTAATTTTTTAGAAATCATACCTTTGAAACGGTCATCGGAATGCACAGGGACATCGAAGTATACCAACCCCCTTCGATAAAGACCATTAACAATACTAGAATCAAAGAGCATAAATGAATTTGCTTCTTCCTTACAAACTTTGTCGATGGTTGCCATTTCTTCTTCTGTTAGTTTCTATTAAGAAAAAAATAACTTTCAAAGTTTTCCCTAAGATTCATGCATATTGATTAGCATTCCATGAAGGAAAAAAAAATTTCACGAAGGTTAATGTCAAATTAATTATTACAAAACAAATATATTGAAGTTCATACCTTAAATTCTTCCAATGTAAAGTTAACTAGACAAACTTCCCACCATGGTTCAACCGCAAAGTCCACAGGTTGTGTGGGCAGTAATTCTTTGGCGATTGATTTGTTTAATTTCCACATTATTTTCTGGAAAGACAAATAATCCAAAAAAAAAAAAAAATGAGGCGTCACCAAATCTCAACTAAAAAAAAGAAAAAAAAAACTGATGTAAATGAGAATAGTTCAAATGGGCAAATTATTTTGAATGTCGAGAGTGACAACAATAGGCCATAAAATAATCGAATCATAGAGGATAATAAATACTAGAGACTTTCAAAATACAGTTGAGTAACAATTAGATTTGTAAGAAAAAAATAAATTTACCACTCAAGAAGAATCAATAATCAAAACTGTGGAAAATAAATTCTCATGCAAAGTAAATGATACAGGTAAGAATGATTGACGCACAATTTTAGAAATTAGCAAGCCTTAAGCATAGACATCATGAACAACATAAAATCATGTTTAACATCCTCAAAAGTTCTATAATCATTTTCAATTACGCATCATGTAGCTTAATATACTCTTTTAAGTCTGTATAAGAATATGTGGTGGTCACTGATTAAGGTTTGAAGAAAAAATGCAAGAACTCAGATGAAGCATGACAGATAGATTGCAAAGCATTCATCAAAAAGTTGCTTGCAGTCGTCAAAATGAGTAAGATGAATCTCTGCAGCATGTCGCATAAATGAGAATAACAAAGTAACAGATCCTAGACATAATATCTGAAAGCCTGTTTCGAGATGCACGCGAGCAATCAAATAACATAGACAAAAAAGAAACAGCATTAAGGTAATGCATCCAGAGACGGGATAAAAGGATCCAATTCTGTCACTCTGGTTCACCCCTCCACTTTTCAAGGAATAATAATTGAAGTTAAGGGCTGTCAAATGGGATGCTAAAACCATCTAAAACAATTTAACTAAGACCTCCAGAGCCGATTATGAGCTTGGGCTAGCTCAGATTGATGATAAGCTTTTGGTGGGCTTCCCTTTGAGGCCTCTTCGGGCATTTAAATATAACGTGTTTCTCCAATAAAATTTAATGTAAAAGCTCACACAATTTTTTTAGATGAAATTAAAATCAAGACAAATATATTTAGGTTAACACTCTCATTGCCGGGTCCCAAGCCCCAGATGTGAACAGTGGAAGGTTGCATTAAATAATCGACAGCCAACGTAAAATTTGTGGAAAAATCATGAAATGAATCATTTTAATTATTGTGTAAATGTTAGGGTGTCCCCTAGAAGCGACGTTTTGTATGACCTAAATACAGTGAAAAGTGTGCAAGAACCGCTACACTGGCGTCCGAGTGTAGTGTCAAATAAGCAAAGACTCTCATAATACAGATAAATGCGGTTAAAAAAGTTAGTCCATGAAACTAATATTAGGATATGATCTTAACATATAAGTACTCTCACAAGTAAATTAATGACATCAACTGATATTATGATTCATAGAAAGATAAATATCTTATGGATTCAAGAAACTAAATGGGTTGCAGAAAAGACTAAGGAGATTGATAGCTTGGGTATTAAACTTTGATATTCAGCTAAGAGTCACGGTAAAAATGATGTAGGTGTAATTATAGTTAAGAGTTTGAAAGTAAATGTTATAAAAATTAATAAAATTGGAGATAAAATTATAACCCTTAAGATTGTTGTTGAAACTAAGATTTTTAATATTATAAGTGTTGATACTCCTCAAGTAAATTCAGATATAGGTTCCAAAGAAAAATTCTGGAATGACCAAGAAGAATTAATACAAATGATACCTCTTAAAGAAAGAGTTTTTATTAGAGAAGATTTAAAGGGATATGTTGGTAGAGTGGTAGAAGATTATAGAAATATTCATGGCGGCTACAGTTTTGGAGTGATTAATGAAAAAAATAGAATCATATTAGATTTTGCTTTAGCGTATGATTTTATTATTACTAATACTTTATTCAAGAAACTAAAGGAGCATATTATTACTTATAAGAATGGATCTGATGACACATAATTTGATTATTTTATTATGAGAAGAGATAGTCGAGAAAGTAAAGATTGTAAGATCATTACAAGTGAAAATTTAAATACCCGACATCGATTAGTAATTATGAATTTTAAAATAAAGAGTTGTACAAAAAAGAATATTATGAATCATTGTCATAGAATTAGATGGTGGAACCTAAAAGACACATAAAATTATTTTTATCCGTAAACTTCAAAATTTCAAGATTTGGGATGTTCATGAAAAAATAAATTATATGTAGGATAAAGTAATAAATACTATTAAAAAAGTGGCAAAAATTGTACTTAGAGAATTAAAAGAAACAAAATTTTATAAATAAAAATAGTTGGTGGTGGAGTAATAATGTGCATGAAAAGATAAAATATAAGAAGTTATATTATAAATATTGGTTTAAATGTAAAAGCTTAGAAAATCGGAAAAAATATAAAATGGTCCGTAGGAAGTCTAAGAGAACATGTGGATGTTAAAAGATCTGATTGTAGTGATCTTTATAACAGATTAGAAACTAAAGAGGGTGAAAAATATATGTATAAACTAGCCAAACAAAGAGAAAAGAAAAGTAAAGATTTAACTCAAGTAAAGTGTATTAAAGATAAAAATCAAAAAGTGTTTTTCTTAGAAAATTTATCAAAAAGTGTTTTTCTTAGAAAAAGATATTCAACATAGGTGGTTTGGTTATTTTGATAAATTTTTCAATGAAATTTCTAAAAATACAATTAACCTTAGTGATCTTAATATCGTTAATAATAATAAAATATTTCATTTTTAACGTTGCATTAGTAAAAAAAAGTTGAGGCTTTGAAGAAAACCAATGGTAGAAAGTCTGTAGGACCTGATGATATCCCAATTAAAGTGTGGAAATATTTAGAAGATTTGGGAGTTTCTAGGCTTATTAAACTCTTTAATATTACATTAAAAACTAAGAATATGACTGAGGAGTGGAGGAAAAGTATTTTGGTCCCAATGTTTAAGATTAAACGAAAGCACAAGAGTGTGCAAATTATAGAGGAATTAAGTTGATGTGTCATACTTCAAAATCATGAGAAAGGGTAATTAAACATAGGTTAAGAAGTATTGCAAACATTTATCATAATCAATTTGGATTTATGTCGGACAAGTATACTATGGAAGCTATACATGGAAGCTATACATTTATTAAGAGGACATTTATTAAGAGGTTTGATGGAGAAGTACAGAGAGAATAAAAGGAACTACACATGTTTTTTATTGATTTAGAAAAAACTTGTGATAAGATTCCAAGAGATATCCTTGGGAGAGTTCTAGAGAAGAAATGTATTGATATGACTTATAATCAAGTCATTAGAAATATGCATACTAGAGCTATTACTTGTGTTCAAGCTGAAGGAGGATTGACCAAATATTTTTCTATTTCAGTTGGATTACATCACGGATCATCTTTAAGCCCATATCTTTTTGCTTAAGTTATGGATGGTTTTACTGGACATTTATAGGATGATGTACCTTCGTGTATGTTTTTCGCTGATGATACCTTCTTGTGGATAAAACTAGAGATAGAACTAAGGAAATACTTGAATTATAGAGGTCTATATTGGAGTCTAAAGGCCTTCATTTGAGTAGAACTAAAACTGAATAGATGGAATGTAATTTTCATAGTAGCTCTAGTGACAGAGTAGTAATTATGAGTGATCAAATTATTAAAAGATGTGAATGCTTTAGGTATTTAGGGTCTATTGTTCAAAGTGATGGTGATATAGATGAGGATGTTATTAGTAGAATTCAAGTTGGTTGGTTGAAGTGGAGGAATGCTTCGGGCCTATTGTATGATAGAAAAGAACCACTTAGACTGAAAAGAAAATTTTATAAGTTGGTGGTGAGAACTGCAATGCTCTATGGTGCAGAATGTTGGACTTTAAAATAGAAGCATAAAATTAAGTTAAGTGTTACTGAGATGCTTTGGTGGATGAGTGTTTTTATTCTTAGAGACAAAATGCAAAATGAATGTATCCATGATAGGTTGGTGTAGCTCCTGTGGTGGACAAAATTAGAGAGAGTCGTCTTAGATGGTTTGGTCACATTAAACATTGACCATCTAATGTTCCGGCTTTGAGAGTAAGTACATGCTTTAGAATCAACTTATTTGAGAAAGGCAGAGGTAGACCAACAAAGAGTTGGGAATATTATATAAAAAATGATCTTAATTTATAAGTTCTAAATAAAAAAATGACACTCAATAGGATGCAATGGAGAAAAACGATTCATGTAGCTGACCCCATTTATTGGGTTAAGGGTTTGTTGTTGTTGTTGTTATTGTTGTTGTTTGTGGTTGGGGTGGGGTTGTAGTAGTTGGATTACATCAGGGATTGACTTTAAGCCCATATCATTTTGTTTTAGTTATGGATGCTCTTACTGGACTCTTACTGGACATTCTTACTGGACATTTACAGGAGGATATACCTTGGCGTATGTTTTTCTTTCATGACATCCACCTTGTGGATAAGACTAGAGAGAGTGAAAGAAAAACTTGAATTATAGAGGTCAACATTTGAGTCTAAAGGCCTTCATTTTAGTAGAACCAAAACTAAATATATGGAATGTAATTTTAGTAGTAGTAGCTCTAGCGGCAGAGTTATAATTATGGGTGATCAAATCATTAAAAGGTGTCAACACTTTAGATAACTCGGGTTTAGTGTTCAAAATGATGGTGATATAGATGTGGATGTTATTGGTAGAATTCAAGTTGGTTGGTTGAAGTGGAGGGATGCTTCAGGACTATTGTGTGATAGAAAAGTACCACTTAGACTGTTTGGAAAATTTATAAGATGGTGGTGAGACCTACAATGCTCTATAGCATAGAAAGTTGGACTTTAAAAGATAAGCATATAAAAGATAAGCATAAAACAAAGTTAAGTCGAGATGAGATGAGAATGCTTAAGTTGGTTGAGTGACTTCACACTTGGAGAAAAAATGCAAAATGAATTTATTTAGTAATAGGGTTGGTGTAACTCCAGTGGGGTACAAAATTTGAGTTAGTCGTCTTAGATGGTTTGATCAATTAAATGTCGACTATCTGATGATCGGGTTAGGAGAGTAGA